TTGGAGGGAGGCAAAGATGCAGGTCAGGTATGTTATGCATAATTACACAAAGATGGGAAGCCTACAGAACTCTGCTGAAGCGTTTTGCTACCTTCCTATGTCCTGCTCAGGGTGACTTCTGTGGCCCTCTAGTGTATAACGGGGAACTGCAGGGATTTGTATGATGGGGTCATGGCTGTGCTCAGCCTAACCACACAGGGGTTTATAGTCTGCACTCAGTCTGCACTCTCGTGCTTGGATCAATGAGATTCTTTCCAAATATAGCTAAGGCTATGATTTCACTTAACAGAATGACAGGATATAGGGGAAAAGAGGATAAGCAAACTAATATTAGAGTAGATTGAATGTGGTGTCAAAGAACAAGAGCAGCCTAGCAGCAAAAAATGTAACCAAAGGGAAGAAAATTGCATGTATTATATGACAGCAAGTTTGAAAAAATCTTTCAAGAATTTGATTGCTGATGATACTCAATAATGTTCTTGAAAATGTATGTAACGAATAGATTGAAGCATCAATCTGAATGTCTAAAGAATGGCTGAAAATGTCCCAGCAAAAGACAAAAAAGCATGCTTGACTATCTTCAGATTCTGACCAGTATTTCTTTTATACTAAAATGAGTATTAGGATGTTTTTGTCCATCTGTCAAGAGCTTTATACAGATATAAATAAAATGTCAACTTTTAGACATCTCTCTGATCTTAATTTAAGTTTGACAGCATCTCTGTTTGTTTTCAATAACCTGCTGTTGTGAAGATATCCAGAATGAGTAAGAGCTTTATCTATGTCAAATAGACACATATTATTTCAGCTACAACTTTGCAAAGTTGCTTTTACATTTTTCTTGAATCCTCCACCATTGTCCCAAGCTATTTCATATTTAGGCAAGTCGTCTTCAACCTAAGCCTTCTGTTCAGGGATGGAATCGTTTGAGAGTTTCTAAAAAGGTGTCAAGATGATCTGTACGGTAATGGCTCAGTAATGGTTATCTATGGTCCCCCCCCCCTCCTGATAATTGTACATTGCAACTAGTTCAAAGAAATTGTATTTTTTTGTTGTTGTTGTGTACAAGTAATACAATGATGTGAAGATTATGAAAGAAGTTTTAAAGATTTTAATTCTGATCACAGAAATGCACCAAAGAGAAAAACGGTTAAAAGCCTTTCCATTTATACTTTAAAGCTTCTCTCAGCCAAAGGACAGAGATAAGTACTGCTGCCCATGCTCTGCTTTTACATGCAAATTGTTTTCTAGAACGGCATAATAAATTTAAACTGAAGAAATATTTTTTCCTGCAATCTGTCCATAATGTCCAGAATTAGTATGCAGGTCTGGATGTGTTGGTTTGCTGTTATTTTCATAATTTTCAATTTAACATGAAAAGAAATGTCCATATAGCAAATAATTTTTAATATTGGCAAAAGATAAATATTTTATCAATATATAATGTCCCTGAATTCCTTTCTGTACCAGAATCTTGATCAGAAGTCATTTGTTTTTGACATAAATGACATAAATGCTTAAAGAAAAGACTTAAATGTTATTATTTTCAACTTTTATCTTGCTTCACTGATCAGTTTATTATATTTAACATAGAAAAAAACATATGCTAAACTGATTCTAATTGGATCAGGTCAATTTTAAAACAGTCACAACAAATGCAAAACCTACAAGAGAAAAGAATTGATGTTACCATCAATTAAGAGCCCAACACTGAAGTTTAGAAAAAAAAACATTCTGAGCTGTTATCAGCTTTCACTATTTTTTTTATCTTTAAAAGTTACTTTGACAGACACCAGTGGTCTAGTCCCTCTCTTTAGAAAGTGATAACGGTTCATGATATAAACTTACTGGAGTCTCCTGTGTTCCCCCTGCCAGAAACGTTGCACATGACCATCCACAGGAGGACTCTAGGTTGGCAGAGCCGTTTGCATATACTTGTTCAAATGGCAGGCTTGCGCAGCTTCAAGTATACAGCATCAAAGTCAATAGTTGCTGGTTGTACTGGGGGCGAGGGAAGACAGTCAGGGGTGTAGATGAACGTCATTCAACCTAAAAAAAATCGCCATTAAAAAAATATATCTAAGAAAGCAAAACTTTAAATTTTAGAGGAATAGGACGACAACGCACTTACACAAAGTCACAGAGAGCGGCAGCCATAACCAATTTCTCATTGACCAAAGAACCACCAAGTGGAAACCACAGTGCAGAGAAATCAGATGGGTTTGGCACTGATAACCCCTGGCAATCTAGTTGTCATCAAAGGGAACTGAAAAAACACATCAGCCACAAACAAGTTTTGCTTTTAACCAACTGTATATTTTAAAGCTTAGCTATTTAATTAAGAAGTAAATGTTGGATAAAGCTTACTTGATGGACACAGTTAAACAGACTGGAATATACTGTATCAAAAAAGATCTTTACATCCTCAAGTAGCTTTTGAATGCAGGAAGAAGAGAAGTGACCTCATGGCTCCTGTTGATAAGAAGATCTTTTGTACAGGATTTTAAATACTTCAGGAGAGCCTTTTCAGCTGTCTGCACATGCTCAGTAAATACCCAGTTTCTATTATGTGTTAACTTACCGGTCTAATAATAAAGCTGAGAAAAGAGAATCGGTTTGACATCCAGGTTCTTCTTTCAGCCTGTGCCAAAGAATAAACTCCTTTCCAGGAGCAACTCTTGTTTTTTCTCAGGCGTGATCCCTTTCACTCATTTTTCTTTTTAGGCTCCTCAGAATTGAGCTTTTTCCTTGCCTCAGTCATGACCAGTAGTCGAGCAAAGGGAAAAATAGAAGAGAAAAAAGCCCTAGCTCCATAACTATATAAGATCCTGTGGCCCTAAAGCGATGTCACATGACCTGGCCAACAACGGTGCGTTTTCTCCAAACTTACATAGGCTTCTTATTTCAAGAACGGAGCCCCGCCCGTAGCATTGAAGTGTCAGGAGCTGTATATTGCCTGAGGAATAATGCATCAACTCTTTAGGTCACAAAGTCCACAGTGTACCTTTAAGATATATGGTGTGTGTATAGTGTTTAGGTTCTACGTGCTAATTTTATGTAACTAAAATGAATTTATAAGATAAAGAAAGTTCGGAATACTGTTCACAATGAACAATCCATCCATTTTCTTACACGCTTAATCCCAAGTAAGTAAATAGCAGCAACATTAGAGATGTGCAAAATGACAGCAGCATGTTAATTAACTGACTAAGGTTTATGTCATTACATTGGCTTTTATTTGTTCATTCTCCCGGTGGTTGTTACCTTTATTCTACTCTGTATTCTCATGAGTGCAGTCTTTTTTCACTTTACAAATAAAAAAATGAAGAAAAAAAAATGTAAAAGAACCTGTTTTGAAAAGTTTGGTATTCCTTCCTTTCCTGCTTTGTGTGTCAACTGTCATGGTTGTTAGGCCACAGAGCGTGCAGACCAGCCAAAGCTCTTTCGGTCTCCTTGTTTTCACGGACTATGAAGGATCCAGTCCAGGTAGACCCGGTACTTGGAAGACGCAGCCCATAAATTCGAACACAGCCTTTAAAGTTAAAATCAGTCTTTAAATTAAGCAATGTCAAAGCCTGAGACTGCTTAGGAAAAGACTCCAACTGATTTTCTTAAAAAGATATGAGAAGGAAGAAGGGCAGTGAACATCAGTGGGTACTCTTAGTCACTGTATATTTTGCAATTGTTGTGTTTATGTGGCTTTAAATAACAACTGTGTTAATTTTTTTTATGCACACCTGTTAATATGCAATTTTTGCAAACTTAATGGACTTTTATAGTAAATCATAAGTAAAGTTGGAATTAGGAATTTTTGGTGTTAAGGTCTTAATGAAAAGAGAAAGGGTATGAATAACTTTTTTCATACATAAGCACTAAATTATACATGTAATGAAATTATATATATATATATATATA